TTACAAAAATGCCAGCAACTAGTGATGTGAGTGAATTTAAGGCCAGCAAAGGTTGGTTTGAGAGATTTAAGAAGCGTAGTGGCATTCATAGTGTGATAAGGCATGGTGAGGCTGCCAGTTCGGACCACAAATCGGCTGAAAAATATGTGCAGGACTTCAAGGAGTACATAGACAGTGAAGGATTGAAACCTGAACAAGTGTTTAATTGTGACGAAACAGGCCTGTTTTGGAAGAAAATGCCAAGCAGGACCTACATTACTCAGGAGGAAAAGGCACTCCCAGGACATAAGCCTATTAAAGACAGGCTTACTCTGTTGATGTGTGCCAATGCTAGTGGTGATTACAAAGTGAAGCCTTTATTAGTGTATCACTCAGAAACTCCCAGAGTGTTCAGGAAAAACAATGTCCTCAAGGCTAATTTGTGTGTGCTGTGGAGGGCAAACAGTAAGGCATGGGTCACTAGGGACTTTTTCTATGACTGGTTACACCATGCATTTGCCCCCAATGTGAAAAATTACCTAACTGAAAAGAAATTAGACCTTAAGTGCCTCCTGGTATTAGACAATGCTCCTGGTCATCCTTGAGGGTTTCGAACGTACTAGTACGGCTTACGACCCAGGGTTTTTGACGTACTAGTACGCCTAAATTCTAGTGCCCTCAAATCTAGTGGGAGAAAGCTGGTAGGCCTTCATATGAAAGAATGGGTCTATGTGGTCAGTGTGCACAGTCTAAAAAAAATCCTGCAGCACACAGTGCATAATAATAAAAAAAAAACTTTGACCATTTTTTGGGAATAAAACAGCGACTTTGCACTGTATTTTCGTATGGTATTTATTGTTGTATTCTAGTTTTCTTGGTCTCATTTTATAGAATGGAAGACTTATTACAGACATTGAGATGATTTTGACTGGTTTTACAATGAAAGGTACCTTGAAATTGAGCTCAAAGTAACAGAAATGTTCGATTTTTACCAAATTTCAAAAGTAAGCAAATCGTGCCAAGCGTGCAATACACGTCAACTGGTGAGTCTAATATTCTTTCACAAGTCCACCAATAATATTTATACCATTTTTTACACTAATGCAGTAGTCTGCATAACAGTAAATCTTATATTTTTTGTGAGAATAAAAATTCAAAGTGGAAACCAAAAGAATATAAGAGGGGCCTTGAGACGTGACTAATGACTAGAGGAAATGTCTTTTTAGTGCCAGGAATGTCTTTCTTGTTTATTCTGGACCCTATTCGGAAATTGGCATCTTTTGAAATTTGTGTGAAATTGGCAAAATTGCTAAATTCTGACCACTGTACTGGATAGTTGAATTTCATAAATGGGTGGTTTCTTGTACCCATTCGATAGAAAAAATGGAGTTCTAGCGAAATATTCATGTTTTTTGTCGACTAGTACAGTGGAATTGGCCGAAAATGGGGCTCAAAGTGGGCAAAATCGCCGATGCGTAAACATCGCCAAAACCGCTAACTTTGCGAGAGCATAATTCCGTAAGTTTTCCATCAAATTTCAAACTTTTGGTGTCCTTATGATCGGGAAAAGATTCTCTATCTTTTCATAAGAGAAAATAATTTTTTTTTTTAAATTTAGCCGACCCTGAGAACGAGTTTCGGAGAGGGCCTGTCAACCCTCAAAGGGTTAAGGTGAAGTTTTTGCCTCCTAATACCACTCCTCTCCTGCAGCCCATGGACCAGAAGGTTATTTCCAACTTCAAGAAACTGTACACAAAAGCTATGTTTGAAAGGTGCTTTGTAGTGACCTCAGAAACTCAACTGACTCTAAGAGAGTTTTGGAAAGATCATTTTACCATCCTCAATTGTGTAAGCATTATAGGTAAGGCTTGGGAGGAAGTGACTAAGAGGACCTTGAACTCTGCTTGGAAAAAACTGTGGCCAGAATGTGTAGACAAAAGGGATTTTGAAGGGTTTGAGGCTAACCCTGAGAATCCTATGCCAGTTGAGGAATCCATTGTGGCATTGGGGAAGTCCTTGGGGTTGGAGGTTAGTGGGGAGGATGTGGAAGAGTTGGTGGTGAAGGACAGTGTAGAACTAACCACTGATGAGCTGCTAGATCATCTTGAACAGCAAGAGGGCAGACCTGAGGAAACTGCTTCGGAGGAGGGGAGAGAGAAATTGAAGAAGTTGCCTACTTCTAAGATAAAGGAAATGTGTGCAAAGTGGCTTGAAGTGCAAACCTTTCTTGATGAAAATCACCCTGACACAGCTACTGCAAGCCGTGTTGGCAACCTGTACACTGACAATGTTGTGAACCACTTTAGGAAAGTCATAAAGGAACGAGAGGTACAGGTATCTATGGACAGATATGTTGTGCGACAGAAGTCCAGTGACTCTGAAGCTGGTCCTAGTGGCATTAAAAGAACAAGGGAAGTAACCCCAGAAAAAAACTTGCTGCCTCAAGTGCTAATGGAAGGGGATTCCCCTTCTAAACACTAAGAAGATCAATGCTCTCCCCTCCTCCCATCCCATCAATCATCACCAGATCTTCAATAAAGGTAAGTGTCATGTAACTGTGCATGTAATCTTCAGTTTGTGTGTATTAAAATTAATATTTCATGTGGTAAAAATTTTTTTTTTCAATACTTTTGGGTGTCTTACACGGATTAATTTGATTTCCATTATTTCTTATGGGGAAAATTAACTTGACTAACGATAATTTTGACTAACGATGAGCTCTCAGGAACGGATTAATATCGCTGGTTGAGGGTCCACTGTATTATTATTACTATTATTAATATTATTATCTTCATTCACTCTAAAAATGGTGTGTTGCTGTTTGTTTATTCTGAACTAACTTGTACACAATGTAAGAGTATTTGTATTGTGAGGTAATTATTATTATAATAAAAAAATATTGAGGTAAATGTTTTACAAACTCTTACAAATGGACGTGAATGAACTAAAAGTAGACATATTAATATGCATTTATTTCGCCTGACCAAGTGATCGTACACTACCTGTTCAGTTTGTGTTCTTGTATTGTCTCAACTCTATCTCCTTCTCTCTCTCGTTTACTCTTTTGTTAACTAGTTGGCTCTCATTGACGATGGCATCTAAGGTTAGCTGTGATAAAAAGAGAAGTCGTAAGCCTCTTGCTTTAAGTGCCAAGTTAGAGGATGATGGTGTGCCATTCTGATTTTATTCAATAAACACCCTGCCACTCACCTCTCACACAGTAATATTAATATTTTAAGGTAAGTAATAAATGTACTCTGTGTGTATCTTACCTTTTATTGTGTTTTTAATGCCTATTTCTATTGCTTACTTAATATAAGTTAGTGTAAACTTGTTGTCTGGCATTTATTGCATATTTTATGTGTGCTCTGATAATAATACTTGTGGAGCTGTGTGGTAGCCAGGTGGAGGGACAACACTATGTTTTCTCTGCTCAGCCATCAGAGAAAACGTGTATGAATCTGCGTTTGGCCCAGCCACTCCCTCACTCCGCTTTTGTTTACAATTTTCGGCATGAATTATTCATTACTTCTGCCTTCGTTTATGATGGCATCTAAAGGTAGTTGTTAGAAATGATTAAATTCAGTGAACAAGGCATGTCGATGTTCATAATATGGCCCTGGGCCACAGTGTAGGTAGCCGGTAGGTGTAGCCCAGGCGGGCTACACCTGCCGGCTACCTACACTGACTTCCTACAAATAAATACTACTCACCTCTCCTCCTATATTAAGACCACACATATTTTAAGGTCAATAATGAGTGTACTGTATGTGTATTTTACCTCTCTGGGATTTTTAAATATCGTATATTAAGTATGAGACGGGGAGCCAGTGCTACCTACACCTGGGCTACCTGCACCTGACTTCCTACAAATAAGTAATACTCACCTCTCTCCCTACATTAAGATTACAAATACTTCAAGATAAGTAATGAATTTACTGTGAATGTATTTTACTTTGTGAATTTTTTAATGCCTGGTTCTATTACTAACTTTATATAATTTAGTGTAAACTTGTTGTCTGGTATTTATATGCATTTATAAATGGAAAAAAATGGCGTTCTGCCTTCCAGCAATGTCTGCTTTCCGGCGACAGCCTGGAACTTAACCTGCCCTATAAGTGGGGCCCTACTGTATGCTATATACTGTATATGCATTTTATCACCCAAAGGAGTTTATGTCATAGTAGGTGGGAGTGGCCATGCAGGATGCCATACCTCCCACACGACTTTCTACAAATACTGTAAATACTTTTCACCTCTCACCCTACATTAAGACCACTTACAGCTCTAGGGAGCTTTAAGCATCGTAGTATAGTATATGTGGGTCGGGTGGCTAGGAGGGCTACCACACCTGACTTTTTAGAGTAAATACTACTCACCTTTTGCCTGATGAACAATTCTCACTTTGCCCCCCCCCCCCCCAAAAAAAAAAAAAAAAAAAAAAACATGAGCATGCTGTTACACAAAAAATCTCTGTGATGCACTGACATGATAAACAATGCCCACCTGACCTGAGTGGAATGACCAGCTGCACTGAAACTAGCCATGCTACTTCACAAAAAGTTTACTGCTCAGTGAGATCTACATCACCACCATGTTTCACCCAGGAAGTGTGCAGAAATTCAAGTCAAGACCTTTTTGATAGCACCTCAGGCCACTGTGTCTCGGGAGATGGCCAACATGTTAAAATAAAAATATATATATACGTACATGTCATGGGTTAACTGATGGGATACCAGATAGAGACTTGCAACCTGCCTCCCTCTCATAGTGTGATGTTTAAGCAGCTGTGCAGAAAGATTTAAGTGTTATGGAACTTAAAAACTGAGTAAAAAAATGGAAAATGTTTTTTTTTTTTTTATCTTTGGTATATTGTTCATTGGTACAGAAATATTAAAAATTGTGAATGTTTTAACAATATTAAGCTGTTTTTGTGTGTATATATATGCTTTGGTATAAAATGAACTGAAAAATTGTGCTTATATTAATTGTATGCCCTGTATATTCTCTTTCTTCATCAGGATATAATAGGTTTCCTGACTGCTATGAATACAGCAGTGAAAGGCAAGAAGCTGAGTGTTGAATGTGCTGTTAGCCCAGTCACAGTAGGACTGCTCAACATGCTAGATACAATTAGTCATTGGATAGATGACATACCACCAGTTGATCAACCTCAGCGTTATGGCAATACTGCATTTCGTGACTTCTATGCCAAACTCAAAGAGGTAATGTACATAAATGATGCTCAATCATTGGAAAGCTCTGGATACTAAATTAATGGCTTTTTTTCATTACCAATCTTTTATAAGAAATCTGAATCATCATTGAAAATGTATTAATTGCAGTTGTGAATTAGGATTACAGTATTTACAATTTAGTTATTTTTGTTAACATTAAAGGAAATCATTGCTGTATATTAGTTTCAAAGATCTAGATATGTACAGCACAGTATTGATTTTTTTTTTTTTTTATATATATAAAACAGGTACTCATAACCAACATGTATATCTCAAACAGATAGATTGATTATCTCCAGCAACTTTGGTATGCTTAGCCTCACCTTGCAACATTCCTGATATATTGTATGTAAAGAACAAGAAAGGATTTTGTTTTTATGGCATCACTGGTGCATAAATTCCAGACTTACGATACCAGAGTTATAATTCAAGAATTATAAAAAAGTACAGGAACAGCCAGTAGGAGATCCAAGAAACCCATGCTAAATGCAAATAATAGTTTCATAAATTATAAAATAAATTCATCACTAGATAAACCTCCACTCATGATAAAGTATTATAATTTCCTTGATTAAACTGAACAGTATAAGCTCCTTATCTCAGTCATAATAAAAGTGTCTACTTAACCTTGCATGTAGAAGGTGAGGATTGCACTGCTACAGGTGATAAATATGAAACTTAAATTCTCTTTACCATAAATTAAAGACAGTGTCAAAGCTGCAAGTATGTTAACTTCAGGTAGAAATAAATAAATGTTTCTCAGAATCAGTGACATATCTGTAATACTGGAACAAGTTAACAGTGAGACAGAGCAAATACCTACATCATTGAGTGTCTTAGAAAACAAAAACAGTTCCTGTTCTTTTGGTTCTGAAAAACACACACATTCCAACCTGACCTAACTCATTTTTTGAAAGAGACTGAAAAAAGGTGAAAGTTTCACACTTGAAGAGCATGTGTCATCTCATTAAACATGATCTTAAAAGTTTCCTCATTGACACTGGCCACAACACACAAAAATTGACCAGACTGCATAGGTACAGAACAACACATGACATACCAAATTTGCTGTCACCCAATGTTTTAAGCTTCTCTTTCTTGCTTACACAATTTTCTTTTAAATTTCCATAGATGCACTGAATCACTGACTTAAGGGGCGAAAAGCAAAATCGATTTTTTTTTTTTTTTTTTTTTTCCATTTAAAGGGAAATTTTTTACTGTGAATTAAGCGGCATTGGAAACCTAGACATGTGTTTTTAGGATTTTTCCTTACAGTTAACAGAAACAAAATAAATAGTAGTGCCCTATTCTATGGGGCTTAATTTGCCCTTCATACAAATTGTTAATACAGGGGGACCCTCGATTTTTGGGCAGCACGATTTCGGAAACCCGATGGGAAATTTTTTTTTCTGAAAAAATTTGGCCTCGAGTTTTGTGATTAGACCGGATTCGACGACCGCGGGTACCCGTCCGCCCGCACCGCGCACACAAAGCCAGTTCCCAGCATTCACGCTCAGTGTGCCATTGTTTCCCAAACACTGACCATCACCCCGGGGTTCTACGTAATAATCCTTGTTTTTTGTGATTGAACTGCTAAAAAATCACCATGGCCCAAGGAAAGCTAGTCCAACCCCTTTTGGTAAAGAAGCGAAAACACGACCAGGGGGTTTTTAAAGGGGTTTGAGGCAGCCCCTGACCCTGCCGACCCTCTCCCTGTTATGGAAGGTGTTGGGCCCTTGGGCAACCTGGGGTTGGAGGGAGTGATGGGGATGTGAAAGAGTTGGTGGGGCCCAGGGGAAAAGTAACCCCTGACGAACTGCAAGACTTCAACTGGAACAGGTCAGACCACACTAGGAACTTGCTTGAGAGGAAAAAAGATGAAGGGGCGCCTTCTTCGGTGGTTAAGGGCATGTGTTCAAACGGAATGAGTTGCAAAGTTTTGTTGAAAAATATCACCCTGACCCGCTGAAACAAGCCAATCTGCAACATTTTTAGTGACAAAAAACCTTTTCCCACTTCAGGGGAAATCATAAAAAAATGCCGGGGGAAAAGACCTCTCTGGACAGTATTTTTTGCAAGGGGGCCATGACTCTCAAATTGTTCCCATGGCATTAAAAGAAGAAGGGAAGAACCCAGAAAAAGGATTGCTCCGAAGTCCAAAGGAAGGGGATTCTCCTTCAAACAATATGTACACCTTCCTCCTACCCCTCCCCCCGTCCCACCACCCCGAAGTCTTCAGTAAAGGTAAGTGTAATGTTGTTATTATTTTTTTTAAAGCATGACTTGATTCTGATTGTTTTCAGTATGTAAATCTTTATTTAATTGAAAAAAAAAATTTTATTTTTAAAATTTTTTGGGTGTCTGGAAGGATTTTTTTTTTTTCCATTTTCTTTTGGGGAAAATGGTTTAGAGTTTCGTGAATTTTGACTTTCGCAGGCTTCTGGAACGGATTAACGCGAAACTCGGGGGGCCACTGACCTAAAAGATCCAAGCCCGTTTTTTTATCATTAGTTGTGAGGTAATAATAATTTTGTGATATCCCTGTTGGGGGATGAAATTCACACCAAGATAAAAAATATTTTTGCTATTTTTCTTCAGAATGGTGAGCAAGTTTGGAAAGAGGCATTGCAGAGGACTTTCATGCAGTGTCCCCCGAAAAAAACAGTCACACTTGAAATGTTTGGGAAATTTAAATTTTGACTAGGAAACTGGACTAACTGTCATTTTTACTTTTTCTTACCTTTCTCTTTAAAATTGGGGTTTAAGCAAGAAACTCTTTGCATGGTCACAAAGATTTTTTTTCGGTAATATCTTAAGGCTCTTGTTACTTTAAAATTTTAATATACATTCTGGTCATGGATGAGAATCTCTTAAAACTAATTTAATTACATAGTTACGTAAAAAAGTGTGTGTGTTTTCTTTTTTTTTGTTTTTGATTAATTTATAAAAAAACCATACTTATCTGAATTTTTTATAATTTCATGGTTTTAATTTAGTCAAAAATTTTTCTTTTAGGTACTTACCTTATCAAATAAACTTCAGATTTTTAAAGATGGAGCCAAGCAGTCAAGGGTTTGGGCTGATGATTATCAATTCATTCCTTTCATTTGGGGATCATCACAGCTGCGATGAACCCCCCCAAAAATTTCACCAGAAATGTTTAGTAATGAGAAGATCGTCAATGAAAATGCAGATGAATATATGTTTTTAGCTTGCATTAAATTTATATTATCGGTAAGTTCTGAAAGGTACTGGTAATAATTTTTTTTTTTTAACAATGGCTGTTTCCTGCCAAGGCATGGTGATCCAAAGACAAGCCTCATTCACTATCATTCATTCAGTCACCATCTTTCCAGAAGTGCACTGATATCACAGTCAAACTATCCTCTGACTACAGTATCCCAACCCCTCCAGAATGCAGGCACTTTCCTTCTCACCTCATAGACTTTAGTCCCATTAACTGGTTTTCTCTGAATCCCTCCATAAAAGTAACCTTGCTCACACTTGAACAGCACATCCATTAAAAACCACATGTCTCCATTCGCTCCTCTAACCTACTCACACAAGCCTGCTGGTTCTTGTAGATATTTGTGCTTGTTCAACATGTCTATAGATGGGTTGTGATAGAAGTACTGTAAATATTAGGGTGTTGGGATCTAATAACAAAGTGGGAGTTATTCCAGTTGTTCTTTGCTGATGACACAGTTCTTTAGGGTTTTCTGAAGATAGGTTAGTGAATGAACTTGAGAGAGTATGCTGAAGGAAATTAAAAGGGAATATGGAAAACAGCAAGGTGATGAGGGCAATAAAAAGTCTTACGCAATGATAGGTTGAATGTCAGATTAGAGAAAGGAGGTGGATGTATTCATAAATAGTATTTGAGAATGAACATGTCAGCAGATGAGGTGAACCATTGAATTAATGAGGGAAAAAATAGGTGGGTGGTGTGTTTAAAGTACTTGCTGAAAGACAGTTATCAGTGGAGAGAAATATGGGCCAAGATGTTATATCTCTAAGTAGTGTCATATGCTTTTTCAAGATCAAAAAAGACTGCATTACTAGCAAAAGACTGGTTACTAGCAAAGGCATTACGAACATATGTATCTAAGCAGAGTAAGGGATCAGTAGTAGAGCAGCCCTTGTGAACGCCAAATTGACTAGTGGACAGGCTATTATGTGTGTCTAAATGCCACACCAAACATCTGTTTACTAGATGTTCCATCACCTTGCAAACTGCATTGGTAAGAGCAGTGGGATAATAGTGTGAGGTATCACAGCCCGAAGTACCTGGTTTATGAAAAGACAGAACAGTGACAGATTTCCACAACTGAGGAAGAACTCCTTATGACCAAATAATATTAAAAGGACACAAGAGGACTGCAAGGGCTGATGGATGTAAATGCTAAAGAATACAAATGTGAATTGGAAGCAGAAAGTGTAAAAGGCAGATATAAGACTTCTCTGCTAGAAGGTAAGTCTAAGAGCAGTAGATGGAGTCCCTGAGAGATAGACAGGGTGATTTCCAATCTCTGTGGCAACTTTAAGAGGGTTTGCAATGCTCACACTGGCAACCCTAAGAACAGGAGCCAGATTTAGAGAGTATTTGCCACTCAATTTCTGTACTTTTTTTTCCAGACTGTACTTGTAGAGGAAGCCGGAGTGATGGTGGAATCATAATCTTGCCAACAAGTATGTTTAGCTTCTCGGATGATATGTCTGGCAACCACCCTTGACTGCTTAAAATCAGGGAGTCTTTCTGCGGTCCTGTTGTAATGATACAAGCCCCATGCAGCATGTTTCAAGTGCTCTGCACGAGCACAAATAGGAGACCACCATAGCACACTTTTGAGAGAGTGCCTACCTGAGGTTTGAGGGATTGTATTTGAAGCTGTGGTTAAAACCAATGACAAAAATACAGTGGAACCTCGACTCATGAGTTTAATCCGCTCCGTGACCTAGCTCGTAACTCAATTTGTTCGTATATCAAATAAATTTTCCTCATCTAAATTAACTGAAATGCTATTAATCCATCCCAGTGGCAGGACAAAATAGTTTAATATAATGGTAATATTCACTCTATGGCTTATTTATCTATCACAATTCATCTAATTTGACATAATAAACAATATAATTAACAGAGAAACATGATATATACTCTAGAATGAATAAAATAGGCCATAATATGATGAGTGATGGCAGCGGCAGCGTCCTCCATTTACTCTCCCACTCTGACTATAGTATCTTCCCATGCTTTTATTATAAGAGAAAACACTGAAACAGTGTATGTATTTATAAATAAGAAATATTGTATAAAAACATAATAAATTATAATAAACTATAGAATGTTAAAAAATAAACTGTATATAAAGTGTATAGTGTACTTACACACTTGGAGCAGAGATGGTAGCGGAGGTTGAGGGTAGGATAGGTAGAGGGTGGGAGAATGGCAGTGCAGCGTATGATGTCAGGGGCTGGAACTTGCCAGGATGTATGGCAAAAACAAATCAACAATCGCTTCTTTCCTGGCAAAGAAAGAACAAATCAAGGAAGCTGATGTGGCTTGTTTATTAAGTGCGACTGTGAAATAAGCCACCATGGGCAGGGTGTAGCAGGCAGGCAGGGAGTGTAGCAGGCATGCAGGGAGTGTAGCATGGAGGGAGGGAGTGTAGCAGGCAAGCAGGGAGTGTAGAATGGAAACAGGAAGTGTGGAAGGGAGGCAGGGAGTGTATCAAGGATGCAGGGAATGTAGCATGGAGGGAGTGTAACAGGCATGCAGAGAGTGTAGCAGGGAGGCAGAGAGTGTAGCATGGAGGGAGGGAATGTAGCAGGCAGGCAGGGAGTGTATCAGGCATACAGAGAATGTAGCAGGGAGTGCAGAAAGGAGGCAGGGAGTGTAGCAGGCAGGCAGAGAGGGAAGTAACCCTAGAGAGGGCTTTGATACCTGAAGTCCTTATGGAGGGGAATTCCCCTTCCAAACAATAATCAGTCCTCCCTCTCTCCATAAGCCAACAAGAGTCTTCAATAAAGGTATGTAATAGTGATTTAAATGTTCATTTATTTTATTTAGCTCTCATTGTTTTGTGTATGTAAAACTAGAATTAATCTTTAAAAAATGTATTTTTTGTTAATATTTTTGGGTGTCTGGAATGGATTAATTGTGGTGACGTGTACTTAGCTCAGTGGTGACGTGTACTTAGCTCTGTGAAGACCTGTTTGTGTGCTGTCTGTGAATGTGAACCAGGATGCCCTCTCTTGAGCAACTTTACCAGCAGCTGAGAGAAGAGCTCAGAGTTGCGAAGCTGGAGATACGGCGATTAACGGAGGAGAACAAGAGGATTCGTAGTAATCCTCCTGTTGTGAGTCCCCAGGTTAAAAGGGGAGCTTGGTCAGTGGCCAGGCAACATGGAACCAAGCTGAGGATCAAGAAAACGGTTGGAGAGGCAGAAACAACGAGAAACCAGAAGACTACCATGGAAACTTCCAACCCATTCTCGGTGCACCTGACGAATGTTGTGTTCTACGGGGAATGCCACAACGAGCACCAAAGAAGCTTGGGCAACGTGAGTAAACACCCCTAGAAACCCCAACGAAGACCATCGAGAACGTCTGCAAAATTCTACAAGTGTGTAATGCTCCCCGGCGAATTGAGTCACTACGGGGAGCACACGACGGACGATGCCAAAGGGAAAGGGTAAAAACTTGTTTTTGGGGGGATAGCCAGATTGGGTACATGGAGGGGTATTCGTTTGAAGATAGGATAGGAGGCAGAGGGGGGTTTTTCCCCGGGGGCTGGGATGAAGGAATTGTTACTTCTGGATGACACATGAGAGGTAAGGAGAAACCTATTATCTGTCTCAGTGCTGAGGCAACGATGTTGGCAGACATAGGAGTGAAGACCTATTAGCAGGTTGTCAGCAATAAGATAATTAGGGGGAAGGGTGGAAACCTGTCATATCGGCTTTTGCCAAGGAGAGATTTGGGAAAATGAAGGGTTGCAAAAATTGGTGTAAATTTGCTGCGGGAAAAATATGAAAGGGAAAAAAGCGGTAACATTCATTGAAAACGGGGGACCTCTTCTAGGGCAAAAAATGACATGTATCCCTGGGAGGGGGTTCACTTATCAGGTGGGGGTGGGAGCACTGGCCAACGCATAGAGGGAGTGTTAGGCTTTAAAAACTGGAATAGTTAGTGGAGGGTTTTTTTGGCGGGAAAACAGTGAAGTCGCAGGTAGTAATATAGTACAAGAGAACAGTAAAAGGCAAAATGAGGTGGATTTTGGAAAGCCATGGCACAATTGACAAGGGACAGTAATATTTTTTAGGGGAATAACAGAAAGGAGCGGGAAGGGGGTAAATACAGGGAGGGTCTTTAAAAATATATTACACAAAATCCAGTCTAGAAAAGATGGACGAGTTAACTAGTTCAGTGCAGGTAACATTGATTTTTTTGCCTTAACTGAGACGTGGTTTAAATTAAAAAGTCGGGACATCCCTGCGAAATGTCACATTCGGGGTTTTAAATTGTTCCAAGAAGAAGGTCGGAAGGGGGGGGGGGGGGCATTGATTCCGAGATCGCTTGAATTGTTGCAAAAAACGGGTTTTAAGTCAAATAACACAACGAGTCTGTTTGGATAGAATTTCAGAGGGGCTGAAAAATTAAATTTTTAGGTGGATATACCGCCCCCAAACTTAGATACGGACCAGGGGGACTACAGGGGAAAATTGTTGGGGCCACAAGGCACATTGTAGAAATTCTAGGAGACTTTAACTTTGTCAATTTTGTTTGGGGAATTTTTTGACTGGAATTTAGAATCAACACTTTTTAGAAGTTTCAGGATTTTTTTTTTTGAAGCATTTTTGTGACAGAACCTAAAAGGGGGTAATAACCTGCTTGACTTAGTTCTGGCAAACAATGAACCCCTTTGTTAATAATTTAAAATTTTCAAGGAACGGGGTGCTACGACCAAAAAATCAATACATTTAGCATTGAATGGAATATATAGTAGGGATAACTCATAACAGTCCCAGATTTCTTTTAGCAGATTACGAGGGGCTTGGGAAAACACTTATCATCTGTTGACGGGGGGTAACAAGAGCTACCCAATATGACTTTTTGAACATATACAGGGGCCAAAAAAAACGTTTACCCCAATAAAGAAATTAATCAAATAGAAATACCCAAAAGGATGAATAATAGGCTGAAATATCTATTTTGGACATAAAAAGGGAATTTAT